CACCCCTCCTCCTCCTCTCCGCCGCTCTTCTCTTCCGCGGCTCTTTTAATGCTAACAAAATCTACATTTCCCTCTGTTATCTGCCAACTTTAGTTTAAGGTCGCTATAAACGTGGGTGAATTTTCAGTTCGTTAACAGTCAATGAGGCTACGGGGAACACATTCGCGTGAAACGACGTACGTTTGAACGTACCGCCGCCGGCTTTGACGGAAGTTGAGTACCTTACTTATTCCATTCAGGTCTCTTCCATTGTACAGAAAAATATATACGACCTGTTTACGCGTAATTTATTAAGAGTGATACACCTCCTCTGCGAGCTTTTATATATACGTATTGCACTTTTGCGCAAATCCGATTCCACCGGTGAATCCGATTGTTCGCGAGCGTAACAATTGTTGCATAAAAGTGTTTCAACTTAGATTTTTCGCGCCCGACAAGAGCTGTTGGCACATTTGTTCGCGCAGGTGTCGCAATAAAATATTATTATGTAAAGCATCGCGATATAATTGCTAATCCGACATGCTAAGGTACGTTCTCGTGGTATTTAAAGTTTAAATAACTTTTGAAACTTCCCGAGATAGTGTACCGGAGAATAATAATTATCTGAACTTTAGGGGTTTTACCGAAGTTTTAAGTAAGAAGCATGAGAACTAACAGGTTACTAAAATCTCTGCTCTTTACACGCTACACCCGCTGTTGGCAAGTTATAAAGTATACAATCAAACCTGAACTCCATAAATATTCCTTACTTTATCACGTGAACGTTAGAAATATTAGAATTTAAAAGCTTCGGAACGGTGCGAGACGTGCATAAGCGAGATCAGGTTTTATCCTTGGATCTTTACAATTTTACGTTACGGATTACCAAACGATTTTCCAGCGGTTCTAAATCATTCGTTTCACGTTCGAATAAGGCTGGACTGCCGCTTAGGTATCTGTATAAATACCATTTGTTTCTTCGTGTTATCGCTGGAAAAAAAAAAGATCAAACGTTCACGGAAAATGTCGTAAAATTCTATTCAATAAAGATAGCGCACAGTGTATGGATTTGCGAGGAGTTTGTCATCTGTTAGCCACAATAATAAACACGTCAGTGGCGTGTTAAATGGCTACGCGAATAGCTCCGATTGTCCATGAAAAATGGATACAGGGATAGGTCATTAAGCAGTATAAGTTATAAGCTCGCAGACCCTCAGCAATCCTGCCAATCGAAATACTAAGTTTACACCTTTACAGCGACTGTAAAAAAAAAAAATCATTTTCTTTTACAATCTCACCCTTAACGGGAAGGCTTTGAATGATTGCCGTTATTATTTCCGTTGAAAATAAACATCTCTAAATTCTCAACGTTATATATAACACTATCTGCGAAACAGTAATATTGAACGTATTGCTCATTGTAAGTATAATATGTTTCATGCAACCAACACCGACAAGCTTATCTTTCCTTCAAACGTATCGTTTTACTCTTTACGCCTGGACGGGAAAAATTTATATCGCATCAAAATATTGTTCGTTGCGAGGAAAAACGGAGAAAACGGCAAGAAAATAAAATACTTCCTTCGATTCGAGGAAATATTTCTCAACGGTCGAGGAAAATTTACGAATTTTAACCGATGCGCAATGCATTATGTATAAAATCAGTTTTTATTCAATCAACGATATCGATACGTTCCTGTGTTATTCGTTTACGGGTGAAAAATGAAAAAAAGAAGCGAAAGGACGAGAATATAAAAATGAAGAATACTGTTTACGCGTGGGAGGACTAGCGGTGGTAAAAATTGATCGGAAATATGTATTAAATGGGCGCGTAACACTAGGTCGTATGCATATTGTAACGATTAATGAATTTGGCTGAAATAGATTGAGGTGGTAATGGCACCGGTATTCACGAACGTGTATAGGTTCGTGCTGCATCGAAATGCATATCAATTGTTTCATGGAAATTCGAGTGTTACTTCCTTTCATTACTATTCACAGAATTACATGATTGTACCGTATGTATATATGTGCATGCATGTGCAATGCAGACAATTTGATTTACATAATTCCTATTGATCATGAAATTGCGCGTTGTTAGGTAAGTTAATTTAGTCTGTCATTCGAAATGTGGTTTCTTGATAAAGTTACACTTTTCTTTTTCACTTCCCAAAGTGCAAATCAATAAGCCGTCGCATGGAAATTTAGTCAGATACTTTAAAATATGCTTCGAACGCATTATCACTTCTTATATTAACGCTGAATATGAAAAAAAAAGTTATGAATTATTTATTTGTACACCTAACAATATTATATTTATCGTATAAAATTCATTTTCAGCAAATTACAAGTATCTCTCTTTTTATTGTGAATTTTCACTTTTGAAATAACAATATTATATTTGTAATAGAAAACTCATTTTACACGTATTAATAATATTTTGAGCAAATTACAAGTATTTTTCTTGTACTGTGAATTTTTATTATCTTTTTTTTTTTTTACTTCTAATCTAACTATGTATAATATGTTTGTGTAAACTGTAAAGGAAGAACAGAAGATGGAGACGTATTAAAAGCATGTACATGGGCAAAGCACGTCATCGTTGGTTGGTCTGGTGTCAAGGATGGCTAAAGAGAGCCGTGAGTTTCTTCAGTTGGCAGTCGGCGCCATATAAACATGTTGTCCTCGTCCGCATAGACAGAAGGGGAAGGCTCGGATAATTATATAGCGCTCTGATCTCTCACCAAAACGTATCCTCTAACTAGCGCTAATAACACTGCTAATGCTCTTCCGTGGAAACTGCTCGTATCTAACAACCTTTCCGTTACCTTTTCTACCACAAAGATAACACCGGCTATAGCGACAGCAATTTAGAATTCTGTTCTCCTTTTTTTTTTACTACGAACAGACCAACCTTCGACCAATTCTAACCTTAAAATATTTCCTTTTTCTTTTTCTTCGTTTTTATACGTTAAAAGGAAAGAAGAAGGAAAAAAGTGTAACAAGAGAACGGTATTCTTGCAATTTTACGATATATGTATGTACAATTGGTAGGGATTCCATTGGATGGTTGTTGGATTGGAAAACACCTTCCCACAGATTGTGAAAAACACGGATTATACAGAGTGGTCGTTATTGCGGCTATAAGTGACGCGTATAACCCAATTAGATACCTGATCATCGCTTAATTACGTGTTGAGTGATTTATGCAAGTGTGCATAATGTTGCATCAACAGGATTCGCATTCACCGAACGTTATATTCTAGCAGATACAATACAGTGATAAATGATTCATGTTAATACCGCCTATAAATCAAAGGTGTTACGTTATAATACAGAATAAAACATGTAGCGTGACGCATGGACTTAAATTGTTAGCAATTGCGTTGCACAAATATCCTATATACGTCTATATATCCTATGTCTGTATATCACAATTAGGGTAAACATTATACTAGCGAAATAATCGGCTAAAGAGATATGAAATTAGAAATTACGTTAATAAATTACGTATTTGAAACTAGGTGATATAACCGAGAAATTAACTGTTCATAAATTATTAATGCATCATGTACACGCACTGTGAAAATTGTTCTTAATAGACACACGCTGTTGAATCGTCCGTAATTAAACGAAGTTAGTTAATAACCACGTATTCTCGGTATAACCAACATTTTCAACCATTTGTACCTGTCGAAAATATATAAAAACCTTTAAATAGTTATCCTCATCAGTTCGTTCACCTTTGTGCAAAATGTAAAAAATATTGATTTGTATTTTATTTTTCGTGAGAACTTCCTTTCTCGAATTTTCGCATTTGCATAATTGTTGCGTATTCAAAGTAATTACGTGTTTGTGTATTAAGTGTTAAGTCTAAATGGACCATAAATATTGCTACGTATAAAAAAAAATGAATGTGAAATATTTATGTATCAAGTGTAAAAGATAATTAAATGTTTCTCCTTCGAGAAAGT